ACCGGCCAAGCTTGCCGTCGCCGCCGTTCAGCCGCTGTGCGTTGCCGCCACCACCGCTCGCCGGAGTTGCTGCCTTGCCGAGGCCTTTGCTGCTGCTTGTTGGGCTTTTCTTGCTTAGGTTTAAGGCAAGTTTCTCTCTAAACTTTGATTAGGGTGATGGGTTGTGGATGGATTGGTTTAGGGGTTGATTGAGGTGATTATAGGTAAATTAGACGAGAGCTTGATCTTTCATTGTGTTCTTGGATGTTCAAATGGCTGTGGCATGGTAGTTTGAACCTTGTGGAATGAATTTTGAGGGCTGAAGTTCGGTGGTTATCAACAAGGACTCATATCCTTGAAGTTTGGGTTGAATCACGAAATTGTGTTTTCTGTACCCTCCCGGTTTACTATTTTTGTGGAGATTTTTGGAGGCTGAATCAGGGGTGGTGTCCTTCACGAAAGTTTTTCCTCACATCCTGAGGTATAACATATTTTAAATTTGGAATTTTTGGAGGCCATTTGGGTCGCACGAAAACCCATTTTGCAGACCGTCTTAAAACTGCCCGGAACACTGTTCATCCCGACCTTCTTGTCTTGCCGAATTTTTATAAAAGTTTCCAGATCTATTTTCAATAAAATTCCTTCACAAAAGTTGTTGGTGACTTTCCTTTCTATGATATATAAAAATTTCAAAGCTTTTCAAGGTGATTTGTGTGTTGAAAGAAATGTATTTGGACAAAATAGTCTGTTAGAGCGAACTGATTTTGGTCTGGTTTCGAGGGATAAAAAGGCATGGTTGCAGATTAAACCGGATTTTGTGTTCTTCATAAGAAATGCTTATCAAGATGTTTTTTATGATATATCCAAAATTTAGAATTTTTGGAGTTTGTTTACTATTTATTTTGATGGGATTTCGGTCACTGTGTAAACTGTCTAGATTTACCTTGATTCTATGGATGTTCATTTTTATGAGCGGAATGGTGGGGGTGTCGAGGTTGAATAGTTGCTGCCCTCGTGACTGGAATTGATGCTTGAATGTGTGTTGTACGAGTTTATTTGAGGGTGGTTGGTGATTACCTAATTGTGACCGTGTGCGTGGAAGGGCTTGTGGATTTAATTGAGGGGAAGTGGCTTATTCGGCATGTACGTGTGGATTGATCAGTTTCATGGCTGAATGGTGCTTGATTGATGGCCTAAATGGTGCTTATGCACGTGTGACTTGATATTGAATACTCGATGTCCATGTTGATTGATTGGTTGATTTGTAATGATTGATGTTGTCAAGACCGAGGATGATTTGGTGGTGATCATGTGTTGTGATTGAGTTGACATGCATTGTGTGAGCATGTGGTGTGATTAACACGCGAAGTGAATGCATTGCATGACATGAGTGATCACTAAAAGCCCTGAGGGGTAAAGATAAAAAGTGGTGTGATGGTGTGCTCGTGTGATCACCTAATCCCTGATGTGTTTTACGCGGGGAATTGAACCCGTCCTGAGACGTGTTATGCGGGACGATGCCCGGTTATACCGGAAGACCGCCAACCTGATGCGTTTTACGCGAGTTGTGCCGTAAAAAGGGAGATCGGTGTTGCGCTTGAGGCGTGTTACGCGGGCTAGAGACACTGAGCCTGAGGCGTTTTTACGCGGGCTATAGAAGTGTTGTCCAACCTGATGCGTGTTTACGCGGGTTTTGTTATAAAAAGGGAGATCGGTGTTGCGCCTGAGGCGTGTTCATTTACGCGGGCTAGAGACACTGAGTCTGAGGTGTGTTCGTTTACACGGGCTATAGAAGTGTTGTTGGACCCGAGGCGTGTTTACGCGGGTCATGAATAATCTGGGTACGTGTGATGCATAGTGCTTGATTATGGGGTAAAAACTGCTAGGCATGGTATGGGACGTGCCCAAGTGGGTTTTGCCTTATAATTGAGGCACGCGTGACTGTGATGCAGTGATGCATGTGAATTCTTATTACATGCTTTGGTTATGTGATATGGTTGATGCATCATTGTGGCATATATGTGTGTCTAAGCCAGGTGAGAATGCCTGTGATTGTATTATGGCACGTTTATTTCAGTAGACTTGTATGTTTAGGACGATCCGGAGGCAACGTATTCTCCTAAACGAGGTTTAGGGAGCTTACTTGCTGAGTTATCTCACCCCCCGTGGTTAAACATTTTCAGGTTTAGGGTGACAAATAGACGTCACGTATGGATCGGAGACTAGGGTCGATGTAGGGATAGGATGAACTTTCCGCTTTTGGATGCCTTGCTATAGAGGAGTTTAGGTTAATCCAATCCTTCTGTATGTGTGGTTGGTGGCAAGTCGCCCTCAGGTTGGGCTTGTAAATTGTACCGAACTTGGGTTAACAGTGTGTTTATGAAAGTTGTTTTGTTGATGAGTATTCATGTTGTCTCCTTGGCTACCCCGAGTTATCTGTGATGTTGATAGGGTGTTATAGTTCACTTCCGCATGCGTATGATCGTTAGTGAATCGATCGGGTCGGCGATGCGTCTTGGGACATCTCACTCTTAACGACCGTCGTGGGATGTTCGCATGCTCACCGGGTTCGGGGCGTGACATTTTGAGTCACACTTCTTAGAGACACAATCTCCTTCTTCAATACAGAAATCTTTTTTAAGGCAGTTTTGTTAGCAGAGACTAACTCATCAATATAATTTGCAACAGCTTCAGGAATTTTGGAATTACTTACTTCGTCTTCTTCATCAGAACTTGATTCTGAGTCTGAATTTGCCATCAAGTAGATATTGGCATACTCTTGCTCGCTTTCATCATCATTTGAGTCACTCCACGTTTCAGCTTTGAACGCCTTCTTATATCGTTTATACTTTCATTTGCTCTTTTTGAGAAGAGGACATTTGGGCTTTATGTGCCCGTTCTTTTTGTAGTGAAAACATATCACGTCCTTGTTGTCTTCATCTTCGTCACTTGATTTCTTCTGAAGGTTTAGCTTCTTAGCTTTTGATGGCTCAGAATTCTTGAATTGCTTCTTTGACTTATTCATCTTCACCTTCTTTGCCATCTTTCTCTGTTTCTTGACCATTTCAGCCAACTCTTCATCTTCATCCTCATCTGTGTCATCAGAATCAATGTTAGTTTTTAAAGCTATGGATTTTTTACCTTTGGGTTCTTCAGTTTCTAAGAACTTTTTAGTTTCATAGGATTGAAGAGCTCCGATAAGTTCTTCCACTGTGAGTGGTCTGATCCCCTGAGTTTCTTGAATAGAAACTTTGATGTTGTTCCACTCTTTTGAGAGAGCTCTCAGCAACTTGTTCACCTTCATAGGTTCTGAGATGGGATTGTTTTGGAATTCAAGCCCATTTACGATCTCAGTGAATCTGCTCTGCATCTCGAAAATTATTTCATTTGGTTTCTGAGTGAAGGACTCATACTGCCCAAGGAGAATGTTGAGATTTGTCTCCTTGATTCTCTCTGTTCCTTCATGAACAAGCTTGAGACGATCCTAAATTTCTTTTGCAGTTTTGAGATTTGCAATCCGTTTATATTCAACACGTGCTAGACCATTGTATATGGTTGTTCTGATCTTTGCATCCAGATAGATCCTTTTGGAAATTTCCTTGGCCGAGAGAGGTAGAGCTTGAGGTCTGATTTGCTCGTTGACTCCTTCGTCAGAAGGTGTCTCATTTTGCCTTTTGAAGTTTCTGGAGGTTTTGTTTCGGTTGAAACGTTTGGAATGATTCCATGTTCAATGATGTCCCATATATCCTGATCTATTCCTAGGATAAATGTCTTCATCTTGTTTTCCCGGACATTATACTCAGTTCCATTGAAATAAGGCGGTCTGTTGTTGTGACCTGACTCAGTATTACTAGCCATCAAGAATAGTTAGCTCAGAAGTAAAATAACACTTCAAAAAAAAAATGAGCACTAAGCTTTGATACCAATTGTTACAGCTAGTGCTATCACCTAGAGGAGGGTGAATAGGTGATTTTATCAAATTGTATAATTTAAACGTGCGGAATGAATATAATCGAGGTCAACAACTCATATGATCAATATCAGATGGATGCGTATGACAAACTTGTATATAAGTTGTCGTCAGATGATTGCGTCTGATGACTAAGATGATGTTCTGACGAACTTGTTTGATAGATATGTATGCAGTATAATATCAGCAATAATAAATAAAAGTTTAGGGATAGAAAATACTGCACACAGATCTTTATAGTGGTTCGGCTTTATCAAGCCTACGTCCACTCTCTACGTTGGTAGCCTGTTGGCTGTGTTTCACTATTGAATCACCTGAAGATTACAAGAGCAGTGCTTCTCAAATGATAGACTGCACTATCACGTACACTCTTCACTCAAGTAATTTTCTTTCTAAAGTCACAACTTGGAATACAGTAATCACAAGTATGTAAGATCGAAACTCTATTCAAACTTTGGAATTCTCAATTTTGGTTATTCTATCTTGTATGACGTTTGCACTCTTTTTATACTCCTCCATTTCCAATCTTTCTGTTGGATAATCTTTAGAGGATTGATCTCCAAATCAAACCGTTGGAGAAAACTTCCCAAAAGAAAATGCATAGCCGTTAGAAGAAAAACCATTATCTCCAGGTGATTTGATCGCCCATACAATCAAATCAAGGTTTCCATAAGTGTAGTTCTTCGTGTTTAAGGAATGATCTTGTGATTGCCAATCAAGATATCTTGAGATATCAATTTGATTATCCTGCATAAACTTGCAAAAAATAACACTTATTGAATCTGACGAGTAATTTTGAGTCTGATGACAAAGTCCTTTCATTGACTATGTCTGATGACTCAGCGTTTATTTGTATCAAATAACTTAAGTGTAATTCTGATTAGTAAAAGATTGTTTTGTCGTTCATCAAAACTAATTAGGGATTTTGCTCAACACAATCCACATTACTGCTCTCGCCAATTTGGTCTCACCTAGGGTATTCCAGCTCCTATTGTTTACTCCATGAAGTATCATTTCTCTCGTGCCATTAGCTATTGTTTTATCGATGAAGGTAGTATTTTTTGCTGTAATGAGATCACACGTATCATTCTTGGAAGATTTGACTATACCCATTTTGCTGGAGAACCGTAGAGCACTGATGCCTTCACTGAATGGTGGGTTGAATACCGAGCATTTCTTTTTCATTGCATGTCGACGTGGTGATGTCGAAAATCACTCATTTTCTCCCTAGACTGAATCATCCATTCGAGAGACCTTGTGATATGATGTACAGCTATGATGACCTTTCTTCGGAATATCCATCTGATAAAGGTATCAGCTTTAACAATCAATACCTATATAATTTGCTTAGTTATTCTTTACCTTAACTTTTATCCTCTATTGTCTTTGTCTTGCAGACATGAGCATCACATCTCGCAAAAGAAAGGTTGAGAATTACATCAGTACCCCTGTTGAAGTCGATCCTGAAACTCATATCTCAATCTCCGATACCAGTTCATCTCCACCGAGGCGCATCTTTGGTAAACCGTCCCTTTCTCGGGGAAATGACAAATTCCAACCCAAATGGTTCGGCTTTTCAATTTATTGTCACTTGGTTTGGCTCATATTTGTAATGATACTACAGTGGAGACAGAAATTAAATCTCTTCTGACTGAGTTATCTAGTTTACCTTACCCTTTAGAATGTCTGGCAATGGAGTATGCTGTCGAGGAGTTAGCTCATTCTTTTGACTTAGCTTTGACATCCTATAAGTTCGACAGGATCACATCGATGCCTTTGACAAGCTGGAAAAATCATACCTAGATAGGCACGAGGATTTGGATCGAAAACATGCTATCCTTGCATGTTATCAGGCAGTCGATGATGTTCCATTGCAGCATCTGGCTGACCAACTCAAACAAGTGGATCAATTGGAGATTACATGCCTGGCTATGGAAGATGAGCTTTAAGAGGCCACCTCTGAAAAAGATCAGTTCTTTAAGGCTAATTGTAACCTGAAGACGCATGTATGCAACTTTTGTCTAAGGATTGAGCAACATTTCATGTAACCATAGATTTAGCTCATCTTGTACATATTCTATGTTGCCATATATTAGGGTCTTTGCTTTTATTTAAGTCTATGTGTATTCCTTATCCTTGTATATATGCAACTTTCTTTTTCACTAAATATGCTCGATCAAGGAACTTCACTTCTGACACTCTATTTCCCTTTCTGGTATTCTTTATTTAGGTGGCATTACACCATTCCCAACTGTCCAAGGCTGATCTCTTACATCAAAAGTGATCAGATCTGTAGCCAGTCATAATTACCCATATCTCTAGCAGATGATACATATAATTGTAACCCTTCACATTCTCGTATTCGGCAGATGTTAATCATAAATGTCCCTTGACTCTGATAGACTGTATCTATCCTTTTCTTGTGAAAACTGCCGGCGGCTTTGCTACACATAATCTCCCATACAGCCATTATGCTGTTTCATTTCCTTCGATATCAATAGCACCCTGCGACATGTCCTTATTCTCCAATCGGTTCAAAGAACTTGCCAGTTGCATTTATTACTCACGTCACTTGAATTTTGTACAACCCCTTTCGTGCCTTTTGATCTTGGTTTACCATATCTACCCTTTTCTTGTGTAAACTACCGGCGGACACAATCTTCTATGTCGTTCCACTTTCCCAATATACTGCGACGTGTCTTTACTCTCCAATCAGTTCGTAAAACCTGTCAATTGCATCTATTACTCACGTTGCTTGAGTTTTACACGATCCCTTTAGTGTTCGTTGATTTTGGCTATCTATTTAAATGGCCCTTGCAGTCTCCTTATTGCCACACTTCAATCCTTTTCCTTTCTTCATTCACAATCCTATAGGGTCCTTATGATAATTTCACCATGACGAAACCCTCTTCTTTCTCATCTTTTAACGCTTCATCTTTCACCGAAGACTTTGTTGCTCTATGAAGCGACTTGCTATGTCGGTTGAGTCTCACCTATACTTATTTATCCATTGAATCAAGGGCTATGGATGAGATTTTTACCTTCGTCAAGGAAGCCGAACCCAAATTCCTTCCTGCTGACCATCCTTTTGGAACTGACTTTGATAAATTCCGTGCAACTTTTACCTATCGGCTTTAAGCCTTTTCTGAAAATAGGTTGATAATCGAACATCATGCAGTCGCCGAGAGTGAATATTTTAACAAGATTGATCTTACCACCCAAGCTGAGAACGTATACATTGACCGGCTCAAAGTTCTGGAGCCTGCTCGTGCAGGACTAGCCAGGTTGACCCGTACGAAGGATGTGAAAGTTGAGCTGCTGAACATCACAAACCGTCGTCTCCAAGGAAAGTTGACATATGAAGGCAGAGGAGCAGAAGAGACAGAAAAGAAGGGGCTGATCAAGCTACTAGCCCATATAGACGAAGACATCAACTCCTGCACGTTGCTTGTGAGCTACTTAGAAGAGCAAGCCAACACCTGCTTTGAAACTCTCACAGCATTAGAAGCAGAGTGTAACTAGGCCTACTCAGCCACGAACACTAGTTCTTCTGCCTGTTATCGCGCTGAAGAGGAGAACCGTCATCTGGAGGGTCGTTTGTCTAGCTTTGCAAACAAGTTCAGGTGTCATATCGGTTTAGACTGATTATGTAATGACGATTCCTGAACAATCTTTGTAAATTTGACCCTCTTGTTCGGCTAGCTTGACCCCCTTAACCATCCAATACGCTAGTTGATCTTCTGTCTACAAGTTCCACTCATCGATGTACTTTCCTTCTCAGAAACGACATAGTCGGGTAATATTTCTTTAAGTATTTTCCGTTGATCGACCTAAGCATTTGTCCAATCTCATCGATGTCCATTAGATGATAAGTATTTCCACTTAAAACTTGTGTGACTAAATACGGACTTTCCCAATTTGGTGACTATTTACCAAATCTTCATTATTTGAACCCACTGGTAGGATAGTTTTCCAAACCAGGTCACCAACGTCGAAGTGTTTTTCTTTCACATGTTTGTTTTATGCCTTAGCAATCCTATTTTTTTGGGCAATTATCATCTCTAAAGCCATAACCCTGTTTTCTCTTAATTCATCGATGTTTCCATACATCAATTCATCATATTCTTCCTTGGACATGCTCCCTTGCAATTTTACCCTTAATGATTGTACTGTAATTTTCACGGGCAGTACTGCTTCCTGGCCATAGGTTAGCATGTATGGAATCACCCCTGTGCTTGACCTCCTCGATGTTCTATAGGCCTATGATACTGTCGACAAGAGTGAATTCCATTCTTTAGGGTTTTCTTCCAAATGCCTCTTAATAAGGTTAATAATAACCTTATTGGATGCTTCAGCTTGTCTATTTGCCTAAGCGTAGTACGGAGTAAAAGGTAGCATTTTGATTTCTTTGGATTTAGTAAACCCCAATGACCAGTAAGTATAGTACCTTGATCTGCTGTTTTGTCTCTGGTATTTCGTATCGATGAATAATTCTTTCTTCTATAAACTCTTTCACCACTTTCTGAGTTATGTTTTTATTCGAGGCTGCTTCTACCCACTTCGTGAAATAATCGGTGGCAACCAGTATAAAAATATGTTTTTTAGATGATGGAGGATAGATCTTTCTAATTATGTCCATTGCCCATTCTCTAAATGGCCATGGTTGCATAATTGTTGCGGGCACATGTTGCAACGGACCATGTTTCTGACATGGCTCGCACCCTTTAGCATAATCAATGCAATCCTAGGTCATTGTTGGCCAAAAATAACCATGGTGTCTTAACAACTACTTCATCTTTATGCCTGCTTGATGTGCACCACATATCCCTTCATGCACTTCCGCCATTGCTACCATCGATTTTTTTTTTACTTAAGCATCTAAGTAGAACACCATCGACTGTTTTTCGATATAGTTCACCATCAAACAGTAGGTATTTTAACACTTGCCTCTTAAATTCTTTATCATCAGAAACTGGGTTCTCTAGATAATTAATAAAATGTGTTCTCCAGTCTCTTTCGTCGACATCAATGTGCTCTTCATTAGACTCACCATCATGATTCGATTTTCTATCGATGGCAAAGTTTTTGTTTGCGTAATGATAAATATGGTCAATTCTTTTGATATTTTATACCCAGATGCCATCTGAGCTAACTCATTGGCTTCCTCATTTTCATTTCTTTTTATATGCTCCAGTTCATAGTCAAAGAATTTGTTCAACAAAACTTTTGCCATATCGAAATATCAAATAATGTTTTCATTGAGGCATTGATAATTTCCTGATAATTGATTGATCACCAACTGAGAATGCCCTTTTATTTTTACAAATCGAACCTTCATATCAGCCAATATGTTAAGGCCGACAATCAACGCTTCGTACTCTGCCTGATTAGTTGGATAATCAAAATCAAGTTTGCACATAAGTTTAGTTCGATGTCCCTGAGGGCATACAATCAAGACACCAATACCAGATGTTGTCGCCGTACTTAATCCATCGAAATACAATGTCCACGGTACCACCTGTATCGAGCCCTCGACGTTCTCCTCTTCCAGATGTACACATGGGTATTCCATGATAAAGTCGGCAACCACTTGTCCCTTAACTGCCTTAAGTGGTATATACATCAAATGTATTTCGGACAAAGCAAAGGCCCATTTTGCAATTCTTCTTTTGATAATCGGACGAGTCAACATATATTTAATAATATCCGTTTTACAAAATACCTGAATTGTAGTCGGCAACATGTAATGGCGTAATTTTGTACAAGCAAATTATAATGACAGGCATAATTTCTCCACTGGAGTATATCTTTTTTCAGTATCATTCAACATCCGGCTGAGATAATATATTGCCTGTTCTTTTCCGTTATCATTTTCCTGCGTCAACATACTTCCAATAGCATTATCAGTTGTTGACAAATAAAGCTTCAATGACCTACCTGGCTTAGGTGACATTAAAACTGGTGGATTGGTCAGATACTCTTTGATCTGTTCAAAAGCATGCTGATGTTTTTTCTCCCAAACAAATTGATCTTGGTTTTTTAACTTAAGTAATTGAGAAAATATCTCTATCTTACTTGACAAATTAGCAATAAATCGATGTAGAAAATTTGTTTTACCTATAATTATTTGTAACTATCTCTTATTTAAAGGTGTTGGCAGCTCTAGGATGGCTTTTGTTTTGTTCTTATCTAGTTCTATCCCCCTTTAATTTACCAAGAACCATAGAAAGTTACCTGCCCTTATCGCGAAAGCACATTTAAGAGGGTTCATTTTCAATTTAAACTTTTGCATCCTTATGACAACACGTTCGAGATAAGTTAGATGACTTACATGGTCCGATTTGATGATGATATCGTCGATATATATTTCCATGAAATCTCCAATCATATCGTGGAAGATAAAGTTCATGGCCCTCTGATATGTTGCCCCGGCATTCTTTAAGCCGAACGGCATCACCAACCATTCAAACGTACCAATAGCTCCCGCGCACCGAAATGCTGTTTTATGAACATCTTCTTCCCATATGAATATCTGATTATAACCTGAATGATTATCCATTAGTGACATGATCTCGTTGCTAGACACCGAATTGATCACCATGTCCGCCATTGGCATTTGATACTCATTCTCTGGGGTTGCAGTATTTAAGTCACGAAACTCTATGCACCACCTTAACTTCCCGTTCTTCTTTTTAATTGGTACCACATTGGATAACCATTCGACATATCTCGCAATTCTGATAAAACCTGTTGCCAATAAACGCTCGACCTCTTCTTTGACTTTATGCACAATTTCCGGTGTAAATCTTCATGGTGGTTGCTTATGTGGTTGAAACTCTTTCTTGATTGGCAATCTGTGTTTGACCACATCTCGGCCTAATCCTAGCATTTCATGATAATCCCATGCAAAGCAGTCCCTATTTTCTTAACAACTCAATTAACTGGGACTTTGTAACCTCGTCCAATAATGCACTGATGAAAATTTATCGATGGTTTTGAGAATCCTCAATATCAACTTCTATAAACGGGTCCTAAGCCTCAATCGGTTTATCATTTTCTTTAAGGGGTCATTCTTCAAATTCCATAATGCAATCACCAATATCCACATCTTGCTTACCTAATTCAGCCGTATAGGCTGTATACCTCCTATTGAGGTCGTCCAATAATGTAAGATTCTGCATGGACAACC